CACTGCATCCCATACTGCGGTGCCCTTTGGAGTCCTGGCTACACTCCTTCTGGTCCAGCTCCCTGCCTCTGATAATGGCTCAAGTGATTGAGTTCCTGCTACCCATCATGGATGGAGCTCCTGGCTCCTGGCTTTATGCTGGCCCAGCCCCAGCTGTTGTAGGCATCTGGGGAGTGAACCAATGGACGAAAGATCTCTCTGCTTCTCTCTGTCTGCATTTCAAATCAATAAATAGGGAAAAAAGAACTAGAGAATGGAGTGGTTTGGGAGGCAAGGAGAAGGCAAGAGAGAAATTCCAAGAAGTGGCTAAGGCCATGATAATGGAGAAAAGGAAAGATCTCCATTTCTTCCATGGTGGCCGTGAGGAGGTCATCCATTATCTTGACAAGCACAGCTTCAGTGGCCTGCAGGAATCGGCTAAAGCAGGCTGCAATTTGCTAAGGAATGAATGGGAGGTGAGGATTCACAGAGGCGAGGGCTATTTCAAGAAGCATGTCTCTAGAAAGACAAAAATAAGCTGGTTGTCATAGCTCTGGGGACTGTGATGTTGTGGTGGATTCATTCTGAGAGTAGGAGCATGGTAGGAGCAAGAGGCATGAGTCACCACGCAGACCACAGGTGTCAGGGGAAAGCAAGCTAGAGGCGAGCAGATGGAACACTCATTAATTTAGTTGGCACAGCAGCTTATAGAGCCAAGGCAGCCAATCTGGTCAAGGGGTGGTCTATGCCCTAACCAATCATAGCCTGCTGCCAGCAGTTTCTAAAACCAAGCCATCCAATCATAGCCTGTTGTCTGTCAGGCTCCATTGTCATGTAGTTTCCGAAGCCATCCAATCACAGCCTGTTGCCAGGCAGTTTCCATTGTCAGCGGCCATCTTGGCATGACCTTCTCTTTCCACCACATTTCTTCCTTTTCGTTTATTTTTGAGCAACAGGAGGCATGATTCTTGGTCAGACCATTGTTGACCCCGTTTCCATGTGGTCTCTGCACGTGGCTGTGCTTCTCTTAGGTTGTCTCCCAGAGGATCTTACCCATCATTGACTAACCAGTGCTCAAAACGGGAGGCCACAGGAGTGCTTGCTCAGATAGGGAAAGGAATGAGGAACAGTGGTAATCAGGAATGGCGTGTCTGCACACAGGCTGTGGGCCGTTTGAGTGGCTGACCAGAGCTAGTGGGGTATAAAGCAGTAGCAGATGTGGCTATGGGCACTTTCTCAGGGTAGGATGATAGGGCAGGTGCATCCGCTAACAAGGCAGACTCTCAGTCTTGTTCAGCTGGTTCTGGTTGGCTGAGAGTTGCAGGCTTGATGTTTCTGGCTGGTACCCAAATGGGCTGTCCCGCACTCTCTGGAAAGACACAAGCATATCCTCGGCCCTAGGTTAGCAGAAGCCTTTTTACAGGCGTTGGAATCCAGGGCCTGAATTCTGTGTTCACTTCGAGATTAACGGCAAACATGTGGGTGGGATGGGGTCTAGCTGCTGTCCTGAGAGCCTGGGTGCCTGGGGACTGCCACAAACGTGGGGATCCTCACTGGGTGCGGATGGGATGACCTCGCATGGGTTACTGCTTGGAGATTGTCTAAGTTCAGCCCATGGATATTTGGGGGTGGTTGTCTAGGGATTTCTGCGTTGTTTGCTACATTGTCGTTTTCACTGTTGGAGCTCTCTCTCCCTAAGTTTCAGCTGTTGCCTGTGAGGCAGCAGCCTGAAGTGACAGGCTCTTATCACTCACAGACTCACTATATTTCTCCTGTGCTTACTGGGGGACTTCCTTGATTCATTAGGTCAAGGCCGTATGCCCACACGGTGTCTCCGGAGCGTCACCTCTCTCGAGTGAGGGACAATGACATGCTTCCGAATTCTGGCATGATCAGTCCTTATGTGAATTCGCCGGGCGAACCGACAGTAAAAGGAGGAGCTGAGAAGCGGCGTTAGGCTTCTGGGTGGTGTGTGCCTGCCTAACCTGGGGGGACTTAGACCGAGGGCAAGGACCTGGAAAGGGGCGTAGGAGGGGGTCCACAGGAACACCTGTCCTATTTTATACACAGAAGTGTTCAGCCTGATTCTAGAATCACAGACAAAAGCCAGTTAGGATCTTTTCGATTAAACTTGTTGTATTTAGTCTTTGACAGGTGAAGGAGGCTCAGTCCCACCATGGGGTCTGGATTTGCACCAAGACTCGAAAAGAGGGCAAAGGCTGCTTTGTCGCTTGCAGGGCCACACAGGAGGGGAGGAGAGAGCAGGGACCCAGTGACATGGCCAGCCATGGCCTCCCAGTTCTGCTGTCACTTTTGCAAAGTCCTGAGAACTCCCTGGAACTCCTTGTCACACATGACAAGTTCAGGTTGCTCTGAGCTAGGTAGCTCCGCTGCCCTCTTGGTCGAAACACAACCTGTGTTGCTGGTCCTTTGAGAGAGGAGCTGTGTCATTGGCTCAAAGGAGGCAGGAGCATGTGACGGTTCCAAGCTGCTTCCCCCATGGTGTGGGGGTGCAGGGGGCATTTTATAGATGACGCAGCAGACAGCTGGTGTGTGGAGATGCAGGTTGGGCAAGTTCTCATTGGAGGAGCTTGGAAACAGGCCAGCATGGCACTGGCTCCTGCATACAGCTGCTTTGCCAAGCAAAATGCTGAAAAGGCAGAAGACCTTTGGACTTCCATAGCCTGTAGCACTGGGACTGGGTGAAGTTTAAGGCAACTCCTTGACATTTTCAGGGGCAGTAGGCCGGGCCCCTGGGTGAAATGGAAAACAGGGGGCAGGGGTTCGGGGCAACAGATTAAGCCACCGCTTGGGATGCCTGCATCCCACATCAGAGTTCCCGGTTGGACTCCCAGCTGCTCCACTTCCACTCCAGCTCCCCTAATGCATCCTGGGAGGCAGCATATGATGCACAAGTGCTTGGGCCCTGCTGCTCATGTGGGAGCCCAGATAGAGTTCCTGGCTTGTGGCTTCAGCCTGGCCTAGGCCTGGCTGTGCGGGCACGTGGAGAGCGAAACCGTGGATGGAAGATCCCCATCTCTCTCTCTCTCCCTGTCACTCTACCTTTCAAGGAGAAGAAAATAAACACGTTTTAAAATTGCCAAAGAGAGGACCGGCATTGTGGCACAGCGGGTTAAACTGCCTACCTGCTACACCAGCATCCTATAAATTTTTTTATTTAATTTTTACTTTTACTATTTTTAGAGGAAGATTTTATTTAATGAATATAAATTTCAAAAGTAGAACTTTTGGATTCTAGCAGTGCATTCTGTAAGATGAAGTGCTGGTCGAGTCCTAGCTACCTGCTTCCCATCTAATTCCCTTGAACACCCCTCAGAAGGTAGCAGACAAGGGAACAAATATTTGGGACCCTTTCACCATGTCTGAGACCCTAAGAGAGAAGCCTGGCTCCTGGCTTTGGGCTGTCCCATCCTCAATGTGGTGGCCATTAAAAATATATTTATGTCTTATTTGAAAGAGTGGCAGAGAGAAAAGAGAGAAAGATCTTCCATTCCTGGCTTCACTTCCCAGATGGTCACAACGGACAGGGCTGGACCAGGCCAAAGCCAGGATCCAGGAGCTTCATCCGGGTCTCCCACATGGGAACAGGGGTCCAAGCACTTGGGCCATCTTCTGCTGCCTTCCCAGGCGCATTAGTAAGGAGCTGAGTTGGAAGTGGAGCAGCCGGGACACGAACTGGTGCCCATACACGGGGTGCTGGCATTGTCGCCAGCAGCTTTACCCACAACGCCACAACACTGGTCCCTAAACAAATAGTGTTACAAATACAACTGTGAAGAGATCGACAGGTGGGAGCTTGGTGTTCCACCGCCTTCCCGCTCTGCGCTGGTGCTTCAGTCACTACATGGGCAAATGTGGACTCCTGGAAAGGACCGGGCGGGGCCCTGGGACCCCTTCAGGGCCTCTGTCTTAAGGGTCCTGGGAGTTTCCTGCAGGCATCAAGGGAGAGAATCAGCAGAGAAAGGCAGACAGAGGACAAGGGACATGGCCAAGCCGAGTGGCTGGGTGAGGTGACATTCCGTCAAAGGTTACCTGAAGGCCAAGGAGAAGAAAGGAGACACCTTGGCGTTCCTGGCCTGGGTGCACCTGCGCTCCCGGAAGTGCGCCACCCTGTTTCAGGCTCTGGAGGGCGGGGCTCCCTTTACCCTCTGGGCTGAGCCCCCAGTGCCAGATGGTGAGCCAGCTGGAGGGGAGGGAGTGGGATGCCCTGAGTGACGGGTCAGGAGCCACTGATAAGCGATGCTAGTTACTCCAGCCCCTCCCTGGCCTCCATGCTTCTGTCTTCTTGGAAGACCTGCTGACTCAGAGGGGTCACAGGGGCCAGTCCTGGAGACGCCAGACAACAGGACTCTGGACTTGAGGTGGCCGAAAGATCCACCCTCAGAGGGCCCAACGAGTCTGACACCCACTCTGAAGTCTCAGACCCGAGGGTGGGGGAGGGCTCCAGGACCTTTCTGCCATGGTGTCTGAGAGTCTGGGACAGGGGCCCAGCCCCACCCTGCTGCAAGGAGGACCTGCACCCCCTCAGCGCCTCAGCTTGCCTCATGCTCCCTGGAAGGACATCTCTTGGGAGGGGGGCAACTTGCAGCCCAAGTCACCCTTCTCAGAGACAGATGGTTTGAGAAGGGGCTGGCAGGTTGAGGCTGGCTGGCTGGCTAGACTTGCTAATGTACAAGATAGTCCCCATGATGTGATAGAATCCATAAAGTGGTATATGGTTGTACGGGCGTTTGCCATGCCATTCTTTAAACTTTACTGCCTGCTTGCTTTTCGTTTTTTTTTTCTTTGTTTGTTTGTTTTTCTTTTTGTATCAAAATATCAGGAAAGAGGGGGAAAATTCTTAGAGTTACACAGACAGAGAAGAGGCAGAGAGAGTGAAAGAGAGAGAGAGAGAGAGAGAGAGAGAGAGAGAGAGAGAGAGAGAGAGGTCTTCCATGTGCTGGTTCTCTCCCCAGATGGGGGAACTTCCATAGCGATCCATCGGATCGGCTCAGTTCTGGCCATTGCAACCATGTGGGGAGTGACCAGTGGATGAAGACCTTGCTCTCTCTCTCTCTCCCTTCCCACACTTAATAAATAAAATGAATTCATCAAAAGCTGCGGTGACCATGTCTCAAGCTTGTCCTGCCCCTCCTGGGCTCTGGCACTCAGCCGAGTGGACCCCACCTTGTCATCCCTAAGCTTTCCGGGAGGGACAGACCCTGCCCAACACCTGATCCCAAGAGGTTGACCTTGTTTGCTCAGGAGGTGAGCTTCCCTTGATAAAGAGCAGGAGGGAGTGCTAGGAGCTGGTATAAAAGTTCCGGAAGGTTCTAAGGGGTTACCTTGCACCTGAAGCTCCCAGGTGAGAGGTGTTAGGGATTCCTGGGTCTGCCTTTGAGGGGGTGGGGATTCAGATCTGATCTGGTCTGGGGAAGGGGATGCCTGGATTGAGTGGCAGGGAGTGTTGGTGAAGTGGGCACCTGGGTTGAAGCTATCTTGGGTGCAGAGATGTGTCAGCTGTCAGTTGAAGGACTAGGAACCTGGGACACTCAGGTGACTGGGAAAGGCCAGGCGTGTGTCGGTGGACAAAGAATCGTGACAAAGATCCCATCTGCTGGTTCACTCCCCGATATGGCCACAATGGCCAGAGCTGGGCCAATCCAAAGCCAGGAGCTTGAGCTTCTTCCAGGTCTCCCAAGGGGGTGCAGGGCCTCAAGTGCTTGGGCAATCTTCCACCGCCTTCCCAGGGCACTAGCAGAGAGCTGGATCGGAAGTGGAGCAGACGGGACTTGAACCGGTGCGCATATGGGATGGCCGCTCCAGGGGCGGAGGACTCACCTACTGCACTCCAGCGGCCAGCTTGTCGGTGTTGGCTCTGATGCTGGGTTCAGGAAATTCAGCCGTCTCCAGGCTGAGGCCTATCCTCCAGTCCTAATTCAGAAAGAACCCGTCCTGGCTGTCAGGACACAGCGCTCGCCAAAAGTGAGCGCTGACCTTCTTCCCCCCTGCAGCCTGGCGATGTGGACCTTCATGCTCCTGGGCCTTCTCTGTGCCTCGGCCTCTGCCAGTGCCAGTAAGTGAGCCGCTGGGACTCTGGTGGCGGGTGGCGGGAAGGGGCCCCTGCTTGGCTGGTGGCCAAGGCTTGCAGGGCCGCCCCTGAGCGGTGGGAACTGGGAGGTCCTTGCCTCCAAGCCCCCCTTTCTTTCACTGCAGTCCAGGCCAGGGCCTCCTCCTACAGTGGCGAGTACGGAAGGGGAGGAGGAGAGCCATTCTCCCACTCCGGCCTCCAGCTGGAAGGGCCCATCACAGCCATCCGTGTCCGGGTTGACAGCCGCTATATTGTGGGGTAAGGCTCTTCCGCGTTCCTCAAGCTCTTACTAACTCAGGAAGTGCTCTTTCACTCTGGGCCACCTGTGCCTCAACCAACAGGTCCCTAGTGAGGCAGGATATGGGGATAGCTGTGAGAGGACTCGGCTTCCAGAACCGTACCCTTTGGACTCCTCCCTCCCCGAATATGCCTGGTGGTGGCAAATCATTAATAACCACTAACTCTCAGGGGCCTGGAAGTCGACCAGCCCAGCCCACCCGCCTTCTGTGGTTTAAATTTTCTTTCCAATATCCCTGCTGGGTGCCCTGCAACTTTGCTCAACGCCTCTCTTGAGCAGTCCCCACTCCATTGCCAGTTGGAAAATTCTATCACGTGCAGAGCCAAAGTGTGTCCGCTGATCCTGGATCTGCCTCCTGGGACAGCATGGACAAGCCTCTTCCCTCTCCCACAAGGGAGCCACTCAGCTGTTAGAAAATCCCTTTGCTTCCACAAGTGCGGGAAAGGGTGGGGCATCGTAGGAAGCTGGACTCCAAATTCAAGGCCTGCCATTTGCGGTATGTGGGAGACTCTGGGCAAGCTGCCTTCCTTCTCTGCACCTGCTGTCAGCCAGGCCAGGAGCTGAAGTTCTTTGTGTGGTCCTCCAGGGCTCACCCGGCCTACACTTTTGGGGCAACTAGCAGGGACTGCTCATCCTAGCGTCCAGTTTGGAGGACTCCACGTGCAGGTCAAAAGGTCCTGAACTCTGATGACCTAATCAGTGTCCCGGTTCCTGCCCTCCCACCCGTCCCAGTCTCCAGGTGCGCTATGGCCAGGTGTGGAGCGACTACGTGGGTGGCAAGCTGGGAGACCTGGAGGAGATCTTTCTGCACCCAGGGGAGTCAGTGATCGTGGTATCTGGGTCATACAGCAACTATCTGAAGATGCTGAACTTTGTGACTGACGAGGGTCGCTTCCTTTCCTTTGGGAAAGACACAGGCATAATGTTGTATGCTGTCCCCTTGCACCCAAACACCGTGCTCTGATTCATCAATGGCCGAGCTGGCTTATTCGTCACCGCCATTGGCCTGCACTGGGACAACTACCCCAGAAACTACCTCAGCGACTGCTGAGCCCACCTCCTCCGTGGCAGGGCCCCGTGGTGGGGTGTGACAACTCCCTGATCACCATTCCCATACAAATGGCTCAATAAAAGGACATGGCTAAAGCTGGTGTGCATGTGGGTGTGTGCAGGCGGGACCCACTCTTGGAGGGCGGTGTGACTCTGAGCTCTGGCTACCTGCTGCTAAGAGTGGGAGCACGAGGGAGATAGGTGTTGAGAATCCTGGGCTCTTCCGTACGTCGCAAGGAGAGTGACGCTGGTTCGAACCAACTCTTTTCGGGGTTAGCTCTTGAGAATGTCTGTCCAAACAGGAGTTCTGAAGGGAAGGCTCAGCAGGGGCACACCGCCGAGCCCCAGGTGTGCCTCTCTGGCGCCCTCCCCCCTGAGAAGGGGCTAGCTTCTCTGACCAAGGGCTGTCCCCTCTCCCTGGAGCTCAGCTGCAGGTGGGTGGCCTGACCTCTGTCCTCCCATCTGTCCCAGATCCGATCTCCCTGCTGAGGTTTCGCCCCAGTTTGTGCTTAAGGACTCCACCCCATTCCCCAGGCCAGTTCTTCCTCGTCTTTACCCCTAACCTGGTGCTCTTGCTTAGCCCTCTCGGAACTGGCGCTCAGGCAGATGAGAAGCCCGTGGCTGAGACACACCCATGTCCCGTATTAGAGCGAGTGGGTTTCATTCCTGACTCCACCTTCCTGCTGACGTGGCTCCTGGGAGGCAGCAGGGACGGTTCAGGATGGTTCAAGTGCCACCCACACGGAGCGCTGGTTGAGTTCTTCTCCAGCTTCTGCCCCCACTCCCACCTCTCTAACAAACAGAAAATAAAAACGGAGCCGGCGCCGTGGCTCATAGGCTAATGCTCCGCTTATGGCGCCGGCACACCGAGTTCTAGTCCCAGTTGGGGCGCCGGATTCTTTCCCGGTTGCCCCTCTTCCAGGCCAGCTTCTGCTGTGGCCAGGGAGTGCAATAGAGGATGGCCCAAGACCTTGGGCCCTGCACCCCATGGGAGACAAGGAGAACCACCTGACTCCTGCCTTCGGATCAGCGCGGTACGCCGACCACAGTGCACCGGCCTCGGCTGCCATTGGAGGGTGAACCAATGGCAAAGGAAGACCTTTCTCTCTGTCTCTCTCCCTCACTGTCCACTCTGCCTGTCAAAAAAAAGACCAAAAAAAAAAAAAAAACCAAAACAAAACAAAACAAACAAACAAACAAAAAGCAGAAACACGGTGCAAAGAGAAGCATCAAGATTACAGAAGTTATTGCGCCAAGGAGAAGAAATAGCCAGGATTTCCATGACCAGATGTCAGGCCACAAATCCCAGTCCTGCTTGGCCCGGTCCTGGAGCTGCTTGGCTTTGTCCAGGAAAAGTACGAATTTGGATTTGTACCTGTCCAGTCTGATTGACCCAGAGACAACATTCTTCCTAGAACATGGCACAGACACCCCCCAGAACAGCACTTAGCATGTCCAATTTCTTTCTTTCATAACCTTTTGTGACTTCCACACACCCTCTTCAACTTACTTGAAACATGCCATCATTTCCATTCCAGTCTAGAGTAAACTAGCCATCAGGATTCTTACAACCATGTCCTTTCCTTATTTAAAAAGCTCTTTCCTTTTTAACCCTTCTTGCCAAGAACACTCTTTCCTTCTAAACCTTACTTACCAAGCACACATTTTTATCCTTGTGATGTTTTCCATAGAGCCTGGTTGGCTCTTTCTACCTTACCAGAAGTCTGAGGTCTCCATGCAGAGTGAAGGTGCCTTACAAATCCCCTGTGTGATCTAGAGCTCTGGTTAAGGCAATCAGTTTGCTAACTGAGCAAAAGTTCCTGGGGGCAGAGCACGCTTCAGTAACGTGCCATGCCGTAACTGTTGCATACCCGGAGAAGCAGGTCCTGTTTGAGAAAGCTGCTTCCATCTATGAACCAAACTTCATGTGTGTTAGTCAGGGGGCTGTCTTTTAGGTCCCTTCTGCTGGCATAGATCAAGTCTATAGTCTCAGCAGAGGAGTGGAGGGGACCACTTTCCCCCTGGGTTTGAGTAGAGCAATGCCTTATTTTTACCTGAGGGTTTTTTAGGAGGACTTGATATTTTAGTATTCTGCGATCTGTGAGCCAGTGAGAGCCCTTTTGCTCTAATAGAGAATTTATTTGGTGTGGGGTATGTCTTGTCCCACTGTAATTCTAGATACCTCCTCTGTCAGCAAGGCAGCCGCTGCCATTGCCTTTAGGCAGTGAGGCTATCCTTGTGCAACCATGTCTAAGGTTTTAGAAAAGTAGCCCACAGGTTGCTTATGTTAGAGTCGACTGCCCGAAAAACGTCACCAAGAGACATCTCTTATACAAACAGCAAGGGGAAGCTTTATTGATTATCCAGCATGCTGGGGCTGTCTGATCATACATGAACAGAGCAGCCCCGAATAACCAAAGGTTAGGGTTTATAAAGGCAAAAACCGCAAAACCGGGAAGGGGAAGAGAATACACGGTTGTTAAGTGGTTGCTAAAGTCTTACAATCAGCAATTATGATCTTAAGACATAGACAAATTATATCTTTATTATTAGCCCAGGTAACCCAGGTGCAACCTTTTTACTTTTAAGCTTGAGCAATCATGCTAGGGGGTTTTTGTGCGTTGCCAAGGGTGATGTAGTGCACTGCTATTGTCCGACTATTTGAGATCATAGTTTCAGACCAGAGTCTCACGGTGGGGGGGGGGTGCTTTCCCAGAATGCAGTCTCAAGTGCTCCAAAATGGAGTCCCTACTGTCAAGGTGCTACTTCACTCTGTCTTATTTTCACGGCTGCACCAGGAAGGTTTAAACCTGTAAGCTTAAGCTTAACTTTTTACACCCGCACATATACAATTTTAACTCTTCATTCCCCACTCCTTGTTGTGAGGATCTCTAATCTTAGAGATTATTTGTTTTTGTCTTTTTTAATGTGACATATTGTTGTTTTATAACCATGAGTTTAACATTTTTAACTTGTTCCCTCACGAAGGTGATGAGTCTATTTAACACACAAGGTCCTATGGTTACAATTAGGAGTAAAACAATTAAGGGTCCTGTTAGGGCTGACAGTAGAGTAGTAAGCCATGGGGACCAGCCAAACCATGACTCAAACCATCCCTGTTGAGTTTCCCTCTCCCGTTGCCATTTTTCCAGTCGTTTTCTGAGTTTGGCCATGGAGTTTTTAACCACCCCAGTTTAGTCGGCATAAAGACAATATATTTTTTTTTTTTTAGGGCCGTGCATAACCCCCCCACCATGAAAATGAGATTTAACCCCCACCTGTTTTGTAATACTGAAATGCAGATACTGGGCTGCATCTGGGAGATTGTGGAAGATTTCTCAGGCAGAAGGGGCGGGGACCTCCACCTGGCAGGTTATCAGGTAGAAGGGGGCAGGGCAGGATGCGAAGGCCAGGCTGCCCGTGAAACATTGTCAGGATGACTGAGATACAGATGCATATGCTGGACACATTAGGCCTTTATGTCACACACACATAAGCTCATAACTGACTTTCTGCCTAATATTTTCCCCTCAAGAGGCAATACCCAAAATTCTTCTTTGGGATTATGGATGGAGTTCCGTTTTCTGTAACTTCTTCGAAGCTGGCATGTGGGCGTCGAGGGGATTTGGGTATTTCCTCTTGCTACCTGTCTTATGGTGTGCAACAGTGGCCTTGGAAAGACTGTGTTGCTCGGTCCAGAGGGCTGCTCAGGTCGTCCAGTGGAATGGGCTGGAAGCCTTGCCTGATGACCATTTGGAGTTCAACAGCTTTTAGTCTGTTAGAGACAAAACGAACAAGGGCATTAAAAACACACGGTGCAAAGAGAAGCATCAAGATTGCAGAAGTTAGTGGGCCAAGGAGAGGAAATAGCCAGGATTTCCATGACCAGATGGCAGGTCAGAAATCCCAGCCCTGCTTGGCCTGATCCTGGAGCTGTTTGGCTTTTTCCAGGAAAAGTACAAATTTGGGTTTGTGCCTGTCTAGTCTGATTGACCCAGAGACAATTTTTTTTTTTTTTAATATTTAGTAGCCAGTTTTGCTAGGAAGTTAAGCCAATGTACAAGACTAGAGTCTCAGGCTGGGAAAAGGACAGACTAATGAATTATTTACATTTAACCATTTATATTATGGATTATTGTGCACCCCCCCTCAAGAGATAGGCCCTTTAAGTTCTCAGTGAGGACCTGTCCAAATCGGTGTAGGGCTATCTGAGTTAGCTGTTACTGAAAGCCCTGTTTTTAGGAACTGGCAGGGAGGGCTTTCTAAGCTTAATGTTATTGGATAGACTTTGAAGGCCTGGCTGGGTATGAGAGGCGCAGACCTATCCATGGGGTGCTGGAAGAGAATTGAAAGAGATGCAAATCCCCTTTAAGGGAGGCCCCCTGCTGACTTGCATTACATGGCTGGACTAGGAGGAGAGCTGAATAGGAGGCTGATGGAAATAGGCAACTTGCATTTCACTGACCCTAGGCCATCCCCTCAATAGCAGTGGCTGGAGCTGGAAGCTGGGCAGAGGCTGGACAGAGCCAAAGGCTTTTTAGCTTGGGGCCACAGGGTCAGCGGTTCTGAACCAGGAGTCCTTCGACACCCAGGGCAGTTCCGTGTCCAGTGGCCGTGCTCTTGGCAGGGCTGACAGAAGGCATTTGCTGTCACGACAGCTGCTTGCCCAATGCCCTGGCTCCTTATATCAGCAACAGGTGCCGTTTGGGGTGCACTGGCCTTGTTGGGTCTCCTTGATGGCAATCACCGTGTAAAGCAGCCATTGATTGGTCTGTTGCCTATCCTCTGCTGCTAGCTTGCTCCGCGTTTTCCTGGTCTCTAATAAAGTAGACCAAATAGGCAGCCTCTATGATGTCAGTCAAAGGGGTGCTCAACCCATCCCTGATTTTTGGAGATTTTTTTAAATATCAGGGT